CAAAAAAAAAAAAAAAAAAAAAGGTATTATTTAAAACCCTATTAAATTTTGAGAAATCTGTATGAAAATTATTCCCTGACTCAACGTAACCTTTCTCATTTTTTACTTCAGCTTCCTCTTTACTATTCAGTACGTTATTATTTCCCTTTTATTCCTTCACTGACACAAAAATCAACTGCTCCTACATTTCTTATAAAATTGTTTCTCTGTGTAGCGCCACAGTACACCTGCTTTCTGGACAGCATATTTTCAGAATATGGATCCCATAGAATATGAAAACTTTCAAGTGCCAGTAAACGTGGACAATCAGCTTCAAAAAACTTTTGACCAACAAAGCAAAAAGACAATTTATGCCCATCTCTAACTCGTCTCTTTCAAGGATTATGAGAGAGACTTCTATAAGTGACTTGTGGCTCTGGAATGCTGTGAACTTGTCCTAGTTAACTGGATGAGGCTAGAAGCTTCTGGATTTGGTTGCTTCCCCATGGCCACCACTCTTCCTTCTTCCTTGCTATACAACTTTGATTTTGTTCAGGTACCCAAAAGCCATGTGCTTTAATGATGAGTGGGAACTAGATGCGGGGAGGTAAATCCTGGTTTAATACAACTGTCCTCAAAGTATAGTCCTGGAGATCCCCATAAATATGAGGTTCCCCTCTTTTCCAGCTGCATGTCTTGAGGCCAGATTTTATTCATGTGGTTCAATCAAAACAACATATCGCAACAGACTGAATGCAGTAGTAGATAAGAGAACCATGTGTTCTATTGTCAGACATTAAAGAGATTTGTAAAACAGTGAAGCAATACTATTTTTCTAACATGTTTTGCTTTGAAAAATACTCGTTATAAAAATGTTAACATGCAACAGAGTTTATTATTATAAATAAACACATTTTATGCCTCGCATTTCATCTCTAATATGACAAGTATCAATAAACAGATCCTATGTAAACAAAAGCTCTTTAGAATCTTTGGGGCTTTTTGTCAGTTTTTTGTTTTTAAGAGACAGGGTCTTGCTCTGCTTTCCAAGCTATAGTGCAATGGTGTAAGCATAGTTTATCGCTGCCTCCAACTCCTGGGCTTAGGCAATCTTCCCACCTCAGCCTCCTGAGTAGATGGCACTACAGGCACGTGTCACCACACCTGGCTAATCTTTTTAATTTTTTGTAAAAATGGGGTCTCACTATGTTGCCCAGACTGGTCTCAAACTCCTGGCCTCAAGTGGTCCTTCCACCTCAGCCTCCTAAAGTGCTGTGATTACAGCCAGGAGCCACTGCACCCAGCCTAAGTCTTCAGTTTTTAAGAGTGAAAAAAAAAGGGAGAGATCAAAGTTTAATCGTGTCAGTTAATTTCTCCTGCAAGAGATTGGTTTAGGAATGAGGCAGCAATAGTAATTTTGGCCAATGCTGACAAGTTGTCTTTTGGGGGATTTCTGGGAAGTTTTTCTTTTCTCTTTAAAAAAAAAAAAAAAAAAAGATTTGTGGCCGAGCACAGTGGCTCACGCCTGTAATCCCAGCACTTTGGGAGGCGGAGGCAGGCAGATCATGAGGTCAGGAGATCAAGACCATCCTGGCTAACAGGGTGAAACCCTGTCTCTACTAAAAATACAAAAAAAATTAGCCGGGTATGTTGGCAGGCACCTGTAATCCCAGCTACTCAAGAGGCTGAGGAAGGAGAATCGCTTGAACCCAGGAGGCAGAGGTTGCAGTGAGCCGAGATCGTGCCATTGCACTCCAGCCTGGATGACAGAGCAAGACTCCATCTGGAAAAAAAAAAAAACAAAAACAAGATCTATGAGAAGAAACTCTGCTACCTCTGTGCAGGGCTGTGTTTAGAGCTACTGCCTAAAGCTGCAGCAGCTCTCTCTGACCAAAGGGCAGTCAGCTGCAAGACCAAGCCAACATGGTGAGAATGGCAGGACCCGGGTCTCTGATAACATCACTGAACCAGTGAATTAGCTGACCCTGGAACTGCCCCATCTCAGATCTCTTGTTGATGAGAAAATGAATATTCTTTATTGTTTAAGGCATTGTTAGTATGGTTTCTGATACTTGTACCAGAAAACATTCAGTATTTTTGGTTGGTTGTTTTTTACCAAATGTTAAAGAGTTAGAAATCAAACCAACAGATTTAAGCACAGAAAGTTAAATCCTGTTTATGTTTTGTTCATTTCTGAATCCCAGTTGCCTTTATCTGCATGCTGTGAATATTGATGAAAACATCACGGCTCATCAACTCAGACTTTTCACACTGTCAAGATCCTTTCATGAGCTGAATTATTTCCATTCTTCTCCAACAATACTCTGGGTGAGGGATTATAGCTCGAGCAGCACAAATATATCACCAACCCCTGGGAAAAAAAATTAGGGCACACATTCCAATGACAGCAAAGCAGTAGCGCTACTCCCTGCGTGGTCAGAGACACCTGTATTTTAAGGTCATTCAAAATGTGAAGAAGGGAACCAAAGCAGTCAACTAGCCTAATACCCTCACTTTACAGATAAGGAAACTGAGGCCAGAAAGGCCTTGCTATATGCCCAGTCAATCCCAGCAAGAAGGATGCCTGCAGACCAACCCCATTAATCATTCATCTTGTCAGCACTGCAGGACCACAAGCATGGGTTTAATCAAGAATGAGATTTAGATTCCAGTTTCTCAAGCAATTAAGAGAGGGTAAATATTAGTAAGTAAAAAATAACTTCCCCTTTGGTATCAATCAGTTCAGTTTCCAAACTGTAAGTTAGAAAGAGAAAAAGCAGGAAGGAGCTCGGTGCCCAGTACCTAATTGCAACTCACAAAGTATTTGTTAAACTAAACTGACTTTATAACAAAGTAGGATTTTCTCTAATCCAAATCAGTGTTTTCCCAGTTACAGTTAATGAATACTCCTATGATTTAAAAGAGGCAATGATACTTAATGGGCACTTTCCCTCTCTTAGGAAACTTGAGGCTGTATTTGGAGACCTCTGATTGTGGAGCTAGATTTGGTCTCTTCAAAGAATTTTGCTCCTGAGTTCATACAAGCTTAAGTTTCCATACATTTCGAGTGTTCATTTATTTGGAGTGAGAGTCAGGAGGGGAGAGAAGGGTGTGAAGGGTAAAGAAAGAGAAAGGAAAATTATGGGAAAAATTAAAACATAGTTTAATCCTTGCTTCACACATGCACACACGCATACACAGAGAGCAAGAGAGAGCTCAGAATAAAATGCTAGAAAGGATATTGGTCATGGGTCCTCTGCCTTTTGGCAAGGGAGTCTTCATCACTGATGCCAGCCATCAGGTACTTGAGGCCTGTGATCCAAGTGCGGGCCTCCTCGGGGTTGGAGGTGATGAGGTCCAGGGACTCCATGTGGTTGCCATGGTAGATGGTGAAGCAGCAGCTGGGGTCGAAGTTCCCCTCAGCTTGTCTGTGGAATATTTCAGACTGCCGGCCCTCAGTCACTTTGTAAATGGAATCAATAAGTACTGTGAGGAAGATGAGATACACACAGTTATAGAGCAGGCAAAGATACTTGTTTACATGCACTAAGAAACAAGAAAAGCAAAATCATTTTAAATATAAAAAATAAGTATGAGGTTGGGCGCTCACGCCTGTAATCGAGCAGTTTGGGAGGTTGAGGCGGGCAGATTGCCTGAGCTCGGGAGTTCGACACCGGCCTGGGCAATATGGTGAAACCCCGTCTCTACTAAAATGCAAAGAAAATTAGCCGGGCTTGGTGGCGGGTGCCTGTAGTCCTAGCTACTCGGGAAGCTGAGGCAGGAGAATTGCTTGAACCTGGGAGGCAGAGGTTGCAGTGAGCCAAGATCGTGCCACTGCACTACAGCCTGGGTGACGGAACAAGATTCCATCTCCAAAAAAAAAAAAATAAGTATGAAAAAATTCATTGCCTGCAAGTTGTGGTTTCAAGTTAAATGTGAAACCCAGGCCCTGTTGTTTCCCACTAGAAACCTTCTCTGCATAACACCTGTGCTGCCTGAGCTGTCTTGACAACATTCTCCTAAGGCAATAATTCAGGACGTGTTGAAATTTGCAGTAAAAAAAATAGATATGTCAACTGAAGCAAAAAGACTGGTAGAAAAAGGTGGCAATGACTATGTCAAATTTATAGTTTACAGATTTGTAGAAAATATGCAAAGACCTAGAGCGGACTTTGGTGTTTTGCAACATGCATTAGAAGATCATTAGAAAAGTGAAAGGAAAAAGAATTTCTGACAATCAAATAGCCGAGCTACATGGAATTGGCATTCCTAGAGAAAATGCCATGGGGCTAAGGTGGTGAAGGCAGAGCAGAGCTTGGAGAAGTAGAGAGGAACAAGGTGACACCCGAGGAGAGGCAGAAAGAGATATAGAAACATAAGACCCACTCCAGGGATGCTTATCAGGCCACTTATGCTGGACTGGAAAGCTCAAGAGGGAGAATAATGGGAGATAAAACTGGAAAGGTAGACAATGGCTAGATTGTGGAGTGGCTGGAATCACAGAGATTAACATTATTTAGGTAGCAGAGCAAATATGAAGGTTTGGATCACTGAAGCACAGGGCAAGAAGGATAATTTCAGACTAATAAATTATTTTTGGTCTGTGTGCTTGTTTATTTTTCAGTAGGAATCAGAAGTTTGAATATCCTATTGATTATTTATATACACCATCTACCCCTCACTTCTGCCTTAATGGCAGAGTACCAATTTTTTTCTGGTATCAACTCATTTCCCACATGACTCACAGGGAAATGAGCCTATCCTCAGCCCAAGGTTCTGCCACCTTTGTACTCTAGGGCTTGCATCAGTGGTCCCCAGGTTCTCAGGCCTTCAACCTTGGACTTGGAATTATACCATCATCTCCCCTGCTTCTCAGGCCTTTGGACTCAAACTGAGCTACTCCACCAGCTTCCCTGGTTCTCCAGCTTGCAGGTGGCCTATCATGTGACTTCTTGGCCTTCATAATCACATGAGCCAATTCCCCTAAGTCCTCTCTCAAACATCTATCTATTTATCTGTCTATCCTATTGATTGCGTTTCTCTAGGGAAAGCTGACTAACATAGTGTGGGGGAAAGCAGCTTTAAGTAGGAATCACATCAACACTTCTTTACTTCATAAATTCAAATGGTGTTGTTAATTCATTAATCACTTAATAGTGTTCAGAATATGGTAATACATTTTAAAGCCTATTAGCTTTATGATGTCCCTCACCTTTTATATGAATGTAAAACATCTCAGGCTGTAAAACCATATATTCTAACTAAAATATATATATATATAGTCTCCAACACAGGGGAAGTATTAGCATTTATAGTATTCATGGACAAGAAAACTTTTATGGATTTAAATTCCCCAAAGATGGTCATTATTCTGCCTCTCGATATCCAAAATCAACTAACTCCAAACTTACAAAAGTATAAAACTTCCACAGATCTGAAGCTTCAAGAGCCCACTCGGTATAACCCGTGTATAACTATGTCAAGCCAAGCAAAGAATTCAAAGGTTAGTTTTACTTTTCGCCTTCTCACTCTTCCTGGAGGGTCGCCATCGGAGGCGCGTCCGGTGCTCATCCAGGTAAAAGAGGCGAACAAGCCCTTTGCTTCCACGTTTCAGCTTGATCATCTGTGTCCCGGACTGCATCACACTCATGCATCTTTCAACTGCAAAAGAAATCAGAGTGTATCCAGCTATCATACAATGCACAGGCATACTGGTGTCCAGGTTTTAAGAGTCAAATAAAACCTCTGATTCACCTGCAAAGACTCCAAGGACCAGAACAAATTTGGTAGAGGTAATCTGAAAAGTGAGTTGTTAAGGAATTAATTCAGTAGGCTTAAGCCAGTAAAAAGTCTTACTAACAGGAAACAATAAAATCTACTTCCAGGTAAATAATGCATTACTTCATAGGGCTATCTTCTGTTCTGTTTTTTGGTATGAGACTTATGACCACTTGATACTTGGATTTATGTTCTTAAAGTAAGTTCTCAGACATGATAAGTCTTGTGAGTTTTTATAGAGCCAATTATAAAAGTATCTTATAATAATGCTTTAAATGCAATCAACAGAAACAAGATTGGCAAAATGCTGACTATTGTTGAAATTGGATAATGATTACCTATGAATTCATGTTATGTATTTGTGATGTTTGAAAATAGCTAAATAAATTTTTATAAATGTAATCAGAAAAAAATCAGCTTTTCACAGTTGACCATAAAACACTTGCTGATGCATTAAACTGCTAAGATAACCCATCTAGAGGAATAACCTGGTGAATGAATCCAAATCACTTATAGTCCAAGTTAAAGCTGTCATTTAAATCCACTCTACTTTGAGATGAACTTTGCTGGATATAGGAATCTGTTATTTTTGCCTGTTTCCCTTTGTCTGGTAATGGTACCCCAACTTTTCCTTTAGAAACATTCCTCTACCATTTTGTGTGCCTTTGATGGCCTGCCAATCACCCCCAAGTGAAAGAGTAGACACACCTGACTTCAGCTTGGAGCAAATCTGACTCCCTCCCAAGAACATAAATCCTGAGCAGATCATTGCTTGAAAACAGAACTGAGCCATTCAACAACTGAGATACTCCTAGTTGGCCACTCTAAGACGTGACAGTTGTCACAAATCTTATTCTTCCTAAGACTGACAAATGATCCCATTTCCCCCTTGATTCTGCAAGTTACCCAGTACCCTTCTAAATATTTTTTTATTATATCACCCAGAAATAGCTTTTGTTTCACAAAGATTAAAACTAATATACAGGCTTATGTATAAACCATTAGAGCACTCAAAATACCTAGTTCTGAGTACCTACCTCATCAAGCAGTATGCTGTTAGAAACAACAGATAAAAGAAACACAATAAACAAACCTCAGCAACATTAGACTTCAGCTTTTTTAGCTAAATATTTTATCTTTACTAGGAAAGATAATATCATCCACCAGCTTAACATTGTATGCACAGGGTACCTGCTAAAGGTAATTTCAACATAACCAATCTTCACAGTTTACTCCATGTAGTCTTTCCTTCCCTCAAGGAAATCAAGGAGGAACTGCAGAAAATTAAGTATAGTTTCAGGATTTGACACTACAAAGAAGGTGAAGTATAGGTTGCTTTTACTCATTTTATCTGACATATCAAATACCCAAATAACAAAAATATTACTTAAGAAGGCCGGGCGCTGTGGCTCATGACTGTAATCCCAGCACTTTGGGAGGCCAAGGCGGGTGGATCACCTGAGATCAGGAGCTTGAGACCAGCCTGACCAACATGGTAAAACCCCATCTCAAAAAAACCCCATTTTAAAAATTTAAAAAATTAGCCAGGCGTGGCGGCGGGCGCCTGTAATCCTAGGTACTTGGGAGGTTAAGGCAGGAGAATCGCTTGAACCCAGGAGAAGGAGGTTGCAGTGAGCTGAGATCACACCATTGCACTCCAGCCTGGGTGACAAGAGCAAAACTTGGTCTCAAAAAAACAAACAACAAAAAAAAATTACTTAAGAAACACACAAACTTAACATGCTTACTTTAAAGCACAAAACAAAAGTTGAGATTTAATTTCACATAGATTAGTATATTCGGTCACTGAGCATCATTTTTTTAGGCAATGAAAGCTACATATTTGAATTCTTGGCAGCCACATTAACCATCTCACACGAGGAATTAAAGGATCAAGACAAAACCACCAAATCAAACCAACCAAGCCAAAATTCCCAGAAAAACCTATTAGAATTTCACTGACCACTGACAATAGATCACATCAATAAACAGATGTTTATAGACCAACTCCCTGTTCCAGGCACAAGACTATTTCATGAGGTGAAGCAAAGAACAAGGAGACTTTCTGTTTGACCTTAAAGAGTGTAAATTTTAAGAGAACAGAACATCTATGAAGGATATTTATTAATGACAATTCAGAGCTGTGGTGAAGAATACAGTGTGGTTCCAGCTTGGGACAGAATCCCAGATCTGCCACTTACTAGCTGTATGACTACATACAGCTAGTAACTCATTTCCTTATCTATAAAATGGGAATAATTATCTACTTCCTGAATTGAGGCAAGGATTGAATGAGTCAATTCATGTAAAGTACTGAAAACAGTAGTTGGCACATCCTAAACACTAAAAATGGTAGCTATTTGTAACAGACTGAATGTGTCTTGTCCCCAAAGTCCTAACCCTCAGTGTGATGGTATTTGGAGATGGGTCTTTTGAGTGGTAATTAGAAACAGATGAGGTCATGCAAGTGGGGCACCATTATCTCTCTTATTCTCTCTTTCTCTCTCTCTCTCTCTCTCTCTCTCTCTCCACTCCCCCATATGAAGATACAGCAAGAAGGTAGCCACCTATAAGCCAGGAACACAGCCCTCACCAGGAAATGAATCTGTTGGGACTTTGATCTTAGACTTTTCAGCATCCAGCATTGTGAGAAATAAATGTCTGCTGTTTAAGCTACCCAGTCTGTGGTATTTTGTTACAGTAATTGAAGCTGACTAAGACACTATTATAGTTTTATTGCTATTGAAATAGTTAAAAATAAATGCCCAGTCAGAAGTAAATACAGAAACACTAGGGAGGCCAAAGAAAAAGAGAATAGAGTAGGCTGGAATGGGGAGAAATGTAGTAATAAGACACCATCAATGAAGACTTGGGGATAGGAAAGGGTATGAGTAAAGTATGATCAGAGAAAAGAGAAAAGATGAGCCTCTATCTTTGGAAGAGCGATTCAAAAGGGAACTGATAGAATGTATGATTCCATGAGCTAGATAAAACTAGGTTGTAGGGGGACTGGGGATGCTGGTTAAGATTTTGATCCACTGGCAATGAGAGGCTCACTACATATATCTGTGCAAAGGATTGGCTGGCTAAAAAATATAATTTAGGAAGATGTTTCCTTGGGAAGAGAGAATAAAATAAATTGTTTAAGCCAGAGTGGAAAACCGAGTTAACTATATTATCAGAGATCTAACAGCAAGCACTGACTATGTATCTGACACAGGGTCCTCTGCTTTGTTCACAATCCCTTTCTTTCTCAGCTCCTTTTCCTTTCCCCGAAATGGAACTGCCATGGCTATAACAGCTCAACATTTTAACAGGAACGGTGTATCTGCACATTGTTTTAGCATAAAATCATATAAATCATATAATACGATTTCTATGAGACCCTAAATCTGAAACAATATGCATCTTAAATTGTTTATGTAGCTGCTTTATGCTTTCTACTTGATTGCTCCCTATCACATAGAAAAGCCATCTGGATAGAGGTAAACTGAAAAATCAAGTCCACTGAAATCTTGAGAGTCATCTAACCTACTTTTCCCTTCCCCAAACAAGACAGTTGACAATCCCTTGTAATTATAAAGCTAACCAGAGATGAAGCACCCTCAATAACTCTTTGCAACTCATTCCAGTGGGTAAAAGTCACCAACAATACAGACAAACTATTCTTCCAGTCTCATCTAGATCATTCACGTGTCAGCACAAGCCAATTTCTTCCTAGTCTGCCTCCAACAGGAATGATTAACAACAGTTACCACCCCTAAAAATCATTGTCCACCCATGCTCTATTGGTAGACTCCATAAAAGAGAATAAGAATGGCTTTGCCCACAGGTAAACAAGGGAAGAGTTCTAGTGACTTAGAATGATTTAACTTCATCACACACATTTCCAGTGCTCAAGTTTCTCTGAGAAAAGTCTGCAAATGCAGGTGACAAATTCCGGCAGCTGCCAATATGTGCACTATCCCTTTGATTCTACATTCTCCTGTATGATACCCTTAACATAGCTAAAAAATAAGTTTATTTGGATACAATACGGCAACATCCAAGAATATTAAGGGAGAAACACCTACCAGCCCATCACATAGTGTTATGCTCTAGACCTTCACATGTATACAAATGTGTTGCACTGGTTGAAATTGTGATAGTTAAGCCATTTGGCACTCTGCTTTTTTCATTTGTATTATAACAGCTTTCCATGTTTCTACAGAGTCTTAATAATTATCATTTTAATGGCTGCCTAACAGAGTAGGATAAATATTTAAAGAGCAGAAGAGATGAGTTGAAGACTATATTCCTAACTTTATTACATAACTAGAGTTTTAAAACTCTTAATAGAGTCCCATCAATAAAAGAAAAGGCATAATAATGTGGTCTACAAGGTCTTTAAGAATTCAATTTTTTAAAAGAATTAAATCAATCCTTTCTGCCACAAGCAGTTTAATATAAGTAAATTTCCTTAGGGGCTATAAGGTCACTAAATCCCTCAAGCAGAAAATGCTGTAAAAAAAAATATACTTCAGATTTGAAGTAACATATTAACATCATTTATGTTATATATGTGTATATCGCTTGGCTATATACATATATGATAATACATATATACGTATACATGATTAGTATATGTCATTTGGATATACATATACACATATATGATTACTATATATTATTTGGAGGAAGGTTTCCAAGATTTCAACCAAGTATATATGACATCTAAGAAGGTTTAATTCTTCAAATTATGTTTGAATCAGAAATAATCACATTCTGTTAGGAACGTCATACATGCCACATGATGCTGATTTTTTTTTTTTTACAGCTTTACTGAGGTGTCATTGACATGCAATAAAATTCAACTGTTTTAAATGTACAATTCACTGACTTTA